AGTCCGCCCAGCAGGGCAGGCCGGGCAGCATTCTGGGGCCAGTAACACTTGGTCGGTGGGTGAGAGCCCTCAGAGGGTCCTGCGTGGGGCTGGGGGTCCCGGCACCCTGAGGCTCCCTGGTCCAAGGTTTTGGGTGGCAGCAGGAGCAGCTCCAGGCTCAGCTCACATCATTCAGGGCCTTGCGGGCAAACTGCGGCAGCACGAAGGCTGCGCGGTGCACGTCCGCGTTGTAGTACTTCAGCCGCCTCTGCTCCACCTGCGCCTGCGTCAGCGGCTGCACCGGCACCTGGAAGTTGGTGCTCGGGCTCTTGCTGCACAGCATGAAGCTGATCTGGCCGCTGGGGTAGGTGGGGATGGTGCAGTAGGGGTAGGCCACCACGGGGAAGAGAGACTTGCAGAACTGCCGCATCTCCTTGATCAAGTCCAGGTGCAGCCACTGGCACTCGCCTTGGCAACAGAGAATGCCATCCTTCTTGAGGGCCGTCTTCAGGAGCTGGTAGTAGGACTCCTTGAAGAGGCCCTCAGCAGGGCCCATGGGGTCTGAGGAGTCCGTGATGATGACGTCATAGGCATCCTGGTTCTGCTTCATGAACTTAAAACCGTCGACGACGTGGAGGGTCAGTTTTGGGCTGGAGTAGCCAACAGCCCTGCCCGGTAGGAACTTCTTAGAGACTTGGATGACATCCTCGTCAATCTCACACTGGACCACGGCCTCCACGGAGGGGTGCTTCCCGCCTTCCCGCAACGCCTCCATCCTCACCCCCGATGAGCAGCACCTTGCATGGGTTGGGATGCTGCAGAGGGGCAGGTTGGCGATCATAGGGGTTCATCTGTCCTAGATTCCCTGTGTTTCCAGTTCCCATCTGTACCGCTGTGCATCCTCTGGTCTAACCAGGTTTGCAAGGCAGAATTGGGGTCATGGTAGTTGGGGGGAGGAAGCGAGTAAGAACTAGAGGAAGGTTGTGGATTTCTTTTGTTCTATTTTAAAATAATTTTTAATAATTTAAATTTATTTTTAATACATTTTTACTTGTAAAAAGAAATTAGATCAGCTATTTTTATATTTAAATAGGAAAAGGAAACATTTTAAGCATTAGCAATGTCTTCAATATAACTTTACCCTATCTTATCAATTTTTATATAGAGTAACCTTAGTATTATTATTTGTAAGTAAATGGTTTTATTTTTAATTATTTCTTCAGCCCCAGTATTTTAGGAATACATTATAAAATTCCAAATCATATGTGTCTTTTCTCCAAATTTTGCTAATTTCTCGCTTCAGTGAATGGCTATCAGCGAATGTGACCTAGGTTCTTTTTTGGTAAAATTTTGTTTTTTAAAAGTTATCAAAATATTCTATGACCAATTATCTAATTAGTCTGTTTCAAGTGCATATTGAAAGGTGAATTTCCTGTTTTTAGATTACCAAATTGGATGCATTCTTATTAATTTTATCTTAGTTTTAAAATCTCCCTATCCTTGATTTTGTTTCTTTGACTTATGGTAAATAGATGGTGGAGGATTTTTTTTTTTTTTTATGTAGTTGTACTTTGATTATTTTTTGGTTTTGCCTCAAGTAGTTTTTTGTTTTTTTTCTTTTTTAACATTTTATTAGGGGCT